GATGCATTCAAAAGACCACTGACAAGTGGTAATACGCGCGACACTCCACCGCCAACGACCGCTCGATTACAGACTCAGGTGAATCGATTAATGGTGAGTGTTTTAGCTTGCTCGTTTTCAAGACAATCGTAAATTATGAATGCTTCGAAAACAATAACTGATTAATATTGTATTGTATTGTGAACGTTTGCAAGCACTGGAGCTCACATTTGAGTTTAAAAAATCATACACGCTAACCGTCACAATGTACATAATCAACGGGGAGAGAAGAGCAAATTTCATACAGGAAGTTACGTGATACCCTGAAAGTTTTAGAGCTAATTCATTCATAGGAATAGACGAGACATGACTAATATTGGTTAGACCGCAGTTGTGGATGTGGATTGACCAATGAATGATACAGTGATACAGTCGTAAGCAAGTCGGAAGAAAATCACAGATTATAGATTACTGTTCTTTTGACAAGTTTCCTATATAAAAGTCAAGTTTAGCCAGGTTGTTACCGGTACCTGACAAATCATCTTTCCAGAATACCGAAAAAGATAATTGTCACCCATCATTTTGGCCAATCTGGATGCAATTAGAGGTGAGGAATGGTTTTCTCTCTTTCTATCTGGGCAGTTTGGAAAAATAACAAAGGTGAAGGCAATGAATCGATCCTACAGTTCAGTTCAGAGATCAAACAGATAAATGGATGAATGCGGGTTAGTGATCGTGTCTCAATAGAATGAATTGTAGGTGTTGGGGTTAATGCCAACAACAGAGTCGATCGATTTACTTAAAAACATGCTGATTTGTCCGAATCATCCAACTAGAATTGTCATTGTGTAGTTCACGCACAATCGTCTCGTGGCCTGATACAAAGTGATTTTGTTAGCGATTCATGTAGGCCTGATTACCATTTGCACATTGTCGAATTCGTTCGCGTAGCGTAATGTTTGTTGAGTTCAAGATGTGCCGAGTCAACGATATTATCAAGCGGAGGGCTTTGAACATTAGGCCTCTCGTTCGAAATTAGCTTGGCAAAATATAACTTCCTCCTGAATTTTGAATTTGCTACCGAATTGAGCAAATGCGCTACCCGAATGACGGAATATGCATCAGTCCACATTATGAATGGAGCTCATATTAATGTGCTCAAGTATTCGGCTATCCACCTCGGGTGTCAATGTATCCCCAAGTGGAATATATACTCCCCTCGAGAGCAATGCTGGTTCAAATGTTAGCGAACGCAGAGACGATTAGCATCCGACTCATGAAACCTGAGCTGTGCACACAACACAAACTGATTCAAGCTCTCAAACCCCCTGGCCACAGGAGCATGACGTAACACCGCGAATGTCTGTCAGGTAATAACTTATAAATTTGGAGTTCTCCCGTTTGATTACCGCACACCTGACTCATCCACCTCGCTGTTCGATCCAATTGAAATTGTTTCATATCTATGTGATTGTAAATACATGAAAATAAATTTACGGAAAACATGTTAGTTTACATTGTGTGTTCCTAATCAATGAGCATATTTTGTGATTCAAA